TCTTATAAAACTCGAGACAAATTGGTGGGGGGAATCATTTTCTAGCCAAACTCCTAAAGATATTTTTTACTGCCTTGTATAAGTTGTATAGTTTTGCTTTCACATTTATCTTTAGTCTTCCCCGAACTGATTGTTGTGAATAGTGTGAGATAGACGTTCAATGTAATATTTTTTCCATAGGAATAAGTGGTGTTCCAGCACCATTTTCTGAAAAGTTCATCCTTTCCTCACAGATCAAGTTTCTGTGTCTGTGGCGGGGGTCTGTTGGTGGTTTCTATTCTGACTCACTCATTGGTCAATATGTCTAACCTTGTGGCAGTGCTATATAATCCTGAGCACTATAACTTTAGAAAATGGTCTTGATATCTCTGGACAAATCCAACTGCCACCTCCAACATCCCCACCCAATTCTTCTTCCTCGGGAGTGTCTTGGCTATTCTTAGCCATTTGCGCTGCCATGCAACTTCTAAAATTAGACCGACAAATTCTAAATCAAACAAAACAAAACGTGTTGGAATTTTTATTGGATTTGTATTGAATTTGTAAATTACAATGTTGAGTCGATCTGTGAACATGGTATAGCTCCATTTATTTAGGATTTTTAAATGTCTTTCAATAAAATTTTATAATTTTCTCCATAAATGTCTCCTTTTGTTAATATTTCATAAGGGCTTTGTACTTTTTGGTGCTATTAGATATGGCATATTTTTATTTACAGTATTTTCTGTTTTTAGCTAAAGTTGATTTTTATATCCAGCAACCTCACCAAACTCTCATTCTGATATCGGTATATTCTTTTGGGTTTTCTACATAGACAATCATAGGTTCCGCATATACAATTTTGTTTCTTCACAGTCATTCCTTTTTTCTAATGCTAGGCATTGTCCAGCAGCCCAGTGAGTGGGGAGGGTGTACAGCAGCGAACAAAACGAAGTCTCTGCTTTCACCAAGCTTATATTCTAGTGGGGGTGGGTTAAAGTAGAAAATGCACAAATTTATGTGACAAGGGGCCTTATGTAAAGAAGTCTAAGTGGGTACTGTTTAAATCGGGTGGTTAGGGAAGCCCTTTCTAATGAGTTGACATTTTAGCAGGACACTTAATGAAGTAGATGAACAAGAGAGGTGACTATGAGGGGAAAGCTTCCAGCAGAGGGCATGGCAAATGCACAGATAAGCAGAAATGTGTTTGAGATGCCGAGGAAGAACTAGGAGGCGGAATGACTGAATTGGAGTGAGGGGAAGAGCGACAGCTGATATGATTGCAGAGATGGCCAGGGGCCAAAAGTGAACAGCTCCCTGAGCTGTAATAGAAATTTCATCTCTGAAGGCGATGGGATGCCATTAGAGTTTTGATGCCATTCGCGTTTCGGAGTAAAGAATTTCCCAAGATGCCACAGGAAACTATCACAGCACACAACATCTAGAGCACGAGTAAAAGTTTCATCAGTAGTCATCAGTAGTCACCAGGATCGCCTCGCAAACACGTCAGTCCTCCCTCAAAACCCTCCAACCGCTTCTCCCACGTCAAGCAAGCGACCGACGGAAGCGCTATCGGAAGTGCGGGGGACGCCGCCAGCGAGCCCCCGACGCCCCGCCCCCTGACGCCTCGCCCCGCGCCGCTCCGCGTGCACGCGCTTCCGGTCCCTTCTAGGCCTCGCGGAGGCCGCCTTCTCGCTGCCCCTCCCGCCCCGCGGTCCTCGAATGCGTCCTGGTTGCCAGGCGCTGGGGAGGCGGCGCCTGTGAAGTTCTTTCCGTGGATTGCTCCTCGGTCCCCTCGCAGACCTTGTCGGGTCCTCGGGTCCCGGGCTCTGACTCCAGGTTCCTTTTAGTCAAGTTCGGGCGGCAGAAGACTGGGCCGCTTAACCTTTTCGGTGCCTGAGAGCCAGCCCTCTGGCCTTCCGATGGAGGCCATGGATCCTTTCTCGAGATTATATTTTGAAAAGAAAAAGGAAAACAAAAACAGGTAACAAAGAAAACCGATTATACTAGGCAACAGTTACCAAACAAAATAATCTGTAATATAGTAATTTTGGCTTCTGGCCAAACAAGTTGGAAGCCACCGCCACTAGGCCATGAGTAGCCACTGCCATTAGGCCACGAGTTCTGAGTGCCAGCCCCACCACCCCTGTGCAGTTAACGTGGGCATCCCCAGAGGTGATCAGAAAGGTACACGCTGATGTAGGGAAGAAGGAGCAGTTTCGCGCTTTCGTTGCCTTTCGAGAACGAGTTTCACCTTTGATAACTGGTGACTACTGATGAAACTTTTACTCGTGCTCTAGATGTTGTGTGCTGTGACTTACGGACACCATACTATAATGCCCTTCCGTTTTCCTAACTAGTCCTAGTTTGTTACATCTGTGTCGTGCTCAGGATTCACGCTCATATTTTAGAGAAATCAACCTGTGATTTGAGAATACCTTCTTCCCTGTTAACCATTGGGATAAAAATTACGAGAATGGGAAAGCAAAAGCGTAGCGCCCGAACAGGGACTTGAACCCTGGACCCTCAGATTAAAAGTCTGATGCTCTACCGACTGAGCTATCCGGGCCCACATGGATCCTGTCTCTGCCACGCCAACTATGATCAATTTAACTCTATACTTGAATGATTTTTAGAAGTTTTATCTGTAATTTCCGTTCAGAGCTGGTCATTCAGAAAATGATTGGTAACACCCTAATAAGCATAGAAACTCAGCCACAACTAGTTTTCTTTAAGATCCAGGTCAATCCCATTACATTAATTATAATGTCTCCCCAAATTCTATCTTTACATATGTATATATTAGATACCGGCTGTAATACATGTAGATAGTGTATATCTATATAGAGTATATAGATACATACTAGACTATATAGAGTTCGTAATAGTCAAGAACTACAGCCCAAGAATGCTGGCCTTCATTTCCTAAGCTTCCCGGAGAAATAGCTCAAATATTCTACATTAGGGCCCCAACAGATCACCTACAAAAGGAAGCCGAACCGACGCTGCGCTTTAGCGGATTAATTGAGATACCTTCCCCGCGACACTTTGGACACCTAAATATGGGTCGAGGGACAGAGGGGACGGTTCGATTTTGTGCCGGGCCTCAGTTGTCTTTTGAGGAAAGAAAAACGAGGTAATCTTCTAAAGGAGAGTCCTACTCTCCTTTTCCTGGTCAGATTTTCAGGTGCTTAGCTCTAACCTTCAGTGTCTAGGTTGAACGCTGACAAGGGTCCGATGGCTGCAAGGCTTCCTCCACTCGGAATACCGATGAATGTTGTCTCATTAATCATTTCGAGGTTTTGCTGAATGATTGAAGGAGAATTTAACTCTAGCATTTCGAAGATCTTAGTATGATTCGCTCAGTGGGGGAAAAGGTCGGATTAAAAGAGTTGGGAAGAATCACAAATACGGTGGCCCCGGGTCAGGGGATGTAGCTCAGTGGTAGAGCGCATGCTTCGCATGTATGAGGCCCCGGGTTCGATCCCCGGCATCTCCAAGTCCCTTTTTCACATACGCAGAGTTCTATGTTTAAAATGTCCAATCGTTATACGTCGTATTCTCCTCTTCATTAACATCCTACGCCTTTCTTTTCGCCACTGCGTATAGACCCGGGTATGTGGAGAGGAAAACATGATTAAGGTATTTGGGTATATCTTCAGGTGAAAAGAATGACATCGGAAACAGAAAAACGCACCCACTGAAGAGGCCGAAGAGGAGCATCCTGGAGAGTTGCTCAGGACCCTTTACAGTAACGGACATCTGTAGTGTCCCGCTGGCCTTTAGGCCAGAAGTGATCTTAGGCTGGGAACACAGATGGGCCCCCGGTGTATTGTCAGCCCCTCGTCGCTGCGTCATTGCACGGAAACTAGGAGCAATGCTGGGGAAAGGAGAAGCGCAGCGGGCGCGGGGCAGCTCGCCTGCGCTCGGGAGCACCACGTGGTTGGCCACGAGGGAGAAGCACGGTCAAAACGGACGTTCTTTCCGCGCCGCGCGAAAGTAGCGTCGGGGCGCGGCCGGTTAGCTCAGTTGGTTAGAGCGTGGTGCTAATAACGCCAAGGTCGCGGGTTCGATCCCCGTACGGGCCAACCGCTGCTTTTATTGCTGCGACAAGGCTGGCCGTGTTTGCCCTGGCGGCTTTTCCTTCGCTCTGGAAAAGCGTCTGGGACTCTCCGACGACACCGCCTGTCGCGCCTGCTCAGGCGCTCTCTCCAGAAGGAGGCCTTATCCCCACTGCGCCCGCGGAGCGCCCACAGCGTTTCCCTGCGTCCGCAGGCGAGGAGCAGGACCCTCGGCAGTTGCTGCGTCCGTCAGGGGAAGTGTCACCGGCCTCGTGGCTGGCTAACACCTGCCTGCGAGTGGTCTGCAGCAGCCACGTCCTGCGGGGCCGAAGCGGGGGCGTGTGAGCCGGCGGGACTGTCCCCGATGCTCCGCGGGCCACCGCTCACGCCCCGGCGCGGTCCTCCTGCCGCGGCTTCTCGGGCGAGGAGCCCGAGCCCTCTGTCGCCGCCCTGTCCCTCTGTTCGGCCGTCTGTGCCGTGACGCCTCTCGGGTCGGCCGCATTTCCCACCGCACGGACATCCCGCGCCCCGCTCCTTGCTCATTCACGACCTCACGGCTTCCTGTCTGCGGTGACGTCTCACCTGCTGACATCGACGGAGAGGTCCGAGCGGGCTTGGGGGACGCGCGGCGGGCCGGGTCAGCCCCGCGCCGACGGCTGCAGGGTTCTCAGGGACTGCGTCACACCGCAGCCTGTGGGACAGAGCGCGGAGGTGTCCGCCAGGATGGGCCAGCGGCCCAACAAGGCGTCGTACGGTCCTCACCGGGCTGGGCTGCGGGAGAACCCGGGCACTTCTGAGAGCCACGGTGACCTGGTTTTCAAAACAGGAACGGAGGAGGGGAGAAGAGAGACGGGGACAGGTTGGGCAGAGGAAAACATCGCTCGCGGCCGCGCACATCGACTGAGACGAAGTGCGGCA